CTCCAACGGCTCCAACGGCTCCAACGGCTCCAACGGCCAGCCCTCTCTGCCTTCCGCTGCGGCTGAAAAGCTTGGAGCCCAGAGCAAGGTCACTCCGACGCCTCCTGCGCCCTTTGCTGCCTCGGCACCCAAGCAGGCTGCTCCTGCTCCTGCTCCTGCCCCTGCTGCCCCTGCCCCTGCCCCTGCTGCCGCTGCCGCTGCTGCTCCCAGACAGGAGCAGCCCAAGCCAACTGCTCAGCCCCAGTCCATCCTGGCTCAGGCTTCCCAATCCGTTGCTGCTGCCAGCAAGGAGGCACTGCAGACCACCAAGTCGCACATCGCACCGCGAGCTGCGCAGCCCGAAAAGAAGGCCCAGACGCAGGAGAGCGCCGAAGATGCAGCGGCTGCGGCCAAGGCCAAGTGGAAGAAGATCTACGAGAGGACGCTGTTCACGTTCATCATGATCGGCGCGTTCATCGCGCTTCTGCTGCTGGGCCATCCGTACATGATCCTGCTCGTCATGGTGTCGCAGACGCTCGTGTACCGCGAGATTGTGGCGCTCTTCAACATCCCGGGCCGTCCGTCGGTGACGGGCGGTGGACGCTCGAGCCGCATGTCGTCGGCACCCACGAGCGCGGCGACGAGCGAGGTGGACGACGACGAAGAGGACGAGCGCATCCGCCGGCGTCTCGAGGGCCGCCGCGAGGAGCTGTGGTCCAAGTCGCTCAGCTGGTACTTTTTCGCGGTGGCCAACTACTTTTTGTACGGCGAGTCGATCATCTACTACTTCAAGCACATCGTGTTTGTGGACGCCTACTTTATCCCGTTCGCCCGGCACCATCGATTCCTGTCGTTCATGCTGTACGTGTTTGGATTCATGGCGTTCGTGTCGAACCTCAAGCGGCGCAACCTCAAGCATCAGTTTGGGCTGTTTTGTTGGGTGCACATGTCGCTGCTGCTCATCGTGTTTTCGAGCCATTTCATCGTCAACAACATCCTCGAGGGACTCATTTGGTTCTGGGTGCCTGCCTCGCTGGTCATCTGCAACGACGTGTTTGCCTATATTTGCGGCATGACGTTCGGCCGGACGCCGCTGATCGACCTGAGCCCCAAGAAGACCGTCGAGGGCTTTGTGGGTGCGCTCGTCGTCACCGAGGTGTTTGCGTACGGTTGGGCCACCTTGTTCCAGCGCTTCAACTACATGATCTGCCCCGCGGTCAGTTTGGGCATGAACGCCTTCAAGGAGATCACGTGCGAGCCCAATCCGGTGTTCCACTGGCACTACCTCTCGCTTCCCCCTGCGGTCTCGTCGTTGGCATCGTCTGTGGTGGGTCAGCGGGTGTCGGCGCTGCCGTGGACGTACTTCCAGCTGCATGCGCTCGTCATGGCTGCCTTTGCCAGCTTGGTCGCTCCGTTCGGCGGATTCTTTGCGAGCGGCTTCAAGCGCGCGTTCAACATCAAGGACTTTGGCGACAGCATCCCCGGCCACGGCGGACTCACTGACCGATTCGACTGCCAGTTCCTCATGGGCCTCTTCTCGTACGTCTACTACTCGTCGCTCATCCGCGAGCACCATGTGACCGTCGGATCCGTGCTCCAGACCGTCGTCACCCAGCTCACGCTCGACGACCAGTTGGAGCTCTACTCGGAAATCAGCCGCTACCTCGTGGGCCAGGGCAAGCTGCCCAAGGCCCGATGAGCCGTCCATCTCCATCTCCATCTCGTCCAAATCCTTTCCTCCCGTTCCTGCTCTTCTCCTGTAATGCTATCTGCACACAGCACGGCCAATCCAGACTCGCTTTCCTCCGGACCCGCTTTCCTTTTCGAGGCGTTTGATGTTGATGGCCCTTTGATTTTGATGGACGGATTTCAACGTGGATTTTTGGCGACGCGATTTTCGGGGCGATTAATATTTTTTGGATTGGGTTGGATTTCGGTGGATGCAGCTCGGCTGGTGGTGGGCTGAGAGCAGTGGGCAGATTTGGCGTGTTGATGCTCTGCTCCACAGTCGAAATTCCCACCGAGCAAAGGTAACCGGCTGAGCCGAGCTGCGCATCCTCGAAATGTCGGTTGCCTTCAGTCGATGCAACCACCGTCGTCATCACCATCACCATCACCATCACCATCACGACTCGTCGTCGCTTGTCGCTTGTCGCTCGTCACAACAACAACAACCATGTCCCATTCCATCTAGGCTTGTCGACTGCAGCATGTCGCTCTGGTCGCTTTCGGCCGAGGCGGGGCCTTCGCGCCCAACCCAGGCTCCGCTTTCGCCCACAAAGATGCCCGTGGCCAACAAGCACGAGTCGCACGTGCCAACGTTTCTGGTCAGATCCGCAACGGAACACGATCTGTACCATGCCGAGCGCAAGTCGCTCCACACTTTTGCGTATGGAGGCCTTGCGCAGTCGGCGCCGTCAGCTGAGGCCTCCAATGGCATCTCTCCGCCGCCGTTTTATCGCGCCACCTTTTCGAACCCGTCGTCTTCGTCCGTCTCCTCGGGTGGTCATCCCATATCGCCGTCGCATCGCACATCCTTCAGCTCGGTGTCCGTCTCAGAGTTCGGCGGGTCCGCCATGAGTGATCGGCTCAGCTGGGGACGCAGCTTCAAGAGGCAGAGCAAACGCGCATCGCACGACGCCAAGTTCGCCTCCAGCAGCCGACTACGCTCCCACACAGAGGGATCCCAGTTCAGCCTCCCCAATAGCGGCGATATCTTTCTCTACTCCAGCCACAACATCCAAGCGTCCGCCTCGGACAAGACGATCCAGCCGCGGTACTCGCACCAGCGTCGCAAGTCAGACGGGCCGCAGAGGTCCAGATTCGACACTGGCGAAATGAGCCTGCCGAGTCGCAGCCACCGTCTGCCGCGCTCGCAGTCGTCGAATGCCCTCTCCCATGCCTTCTGGGATGCGCGCGGCTCCAAGCATCAGCCCAAGCCAACCACTCATGGTCTCAGCCTCGTCAAGGACGAAGACGAGGACGGCCCCGCTACCGTCCCCCGCGTCGCTAGCATTCCCAGCTCTCCTCTGCGCGAGTCGCAGACCTTTGATGCTGCCGATCGCCTCGCCATGATGGCCTCCAGCTCGCCGTCAAAGGCGCTGCGCAGAAGGTCGGGCGAGGTGGTGAGTGGCGCTGCTCGTTCGGCGGCCCAGGCTACCAAAAGGAGCCTGCGCGTCATACGCAGAGCAGGTAGCTTCGACGTAGCCTCCAAGACGTCGACGGCCAACACTCGTTCACGATCCAACTCGTCCTCGTCGCTTCTTACCAGTCTGGGGCTCGTGTCCATGCGACACCAGCGATCCCAGACGCTGCACGAGCTAGACACGCCGTTTAAACGCGAGCGCAACGCTGCCGCAACCGAGCCGCCCGCTTCGCTGTCGCTCCCTGCATCCGCACCTCACTCGCCAAGACTGCATGGGCTTGGACTGAGTGCGGATAGCAATAGAGCCTCGGCTTGGCGCTTCTCGCAAATCACAGAAGCCGATGAGAACATCTCGTTTTCGAAAGACCTCCCTCATCTTGCCCAAGAAACGGGATCGACGCCTTCGTCGGAAAGCGACCAGGGTCTGCAGTTGCACCACTCCAATTCGTCGGGCGGGTCAGTGCCAGATGCAAGATCCATCACGCCGCCAAAGAGAGACGGCCATCTCGAGGCGCAGGCTCGGTCGCCGACGCGGTCGGAACGAGAGCGTCGTCAGGGGCTCGCCAAACGCTCGTATGCGGCGCTGATCGATCTGCTGAATCCAGCGTTGCACAAGGAGACGAGGCCCATCGGTCGTGGACGTCAACACTCGCTCAACGCCGCCAGCGTCGAGCACACCGTTGCGCACGGGGACGATGGCGGCAGGTCCATTTCCGCAGGCGGCAACTCGAGCAACGGCGCAGGCAGAGCGCGTGGCGGCAGTGCCAGTCGATCCAACGGTGCTCAGGAAGGGTTCGACGCCTACCGAGGCGGCAATGCGGGCGGTGGTGGCGGTGCAGGAAGCGGCCCGGGCGGTGCAGGAGGTGGCGGCCCGCCGGATCGCAGAGGTCCCGGACGCGGTGGCGGCAGCAACGGTGCATCCAAGATCTCGGCGCCCGTCAACTCGGTGTATCGCCGGCTGGAGCTCGTGGGCAGGGGAGCGTACGGCGCAGTCTACCGAGGTGTGCACGTCGAGAGCGGCGCAGCGGTTGCGCTCAAAGTGGTGAATCTGGACACGCCCGACGACGATGTGAGCGACATCCAGCGCGAAGTGACGCTGCTGAGCCAGCTGCGCGAGGCGACGCAGCGCAACGTGGTGCGCTACTGGGGCTGCTGGCTCAAGGGCCCGGAGCTCTGGATCGTCATGGATTTTGCCGATGGCGGCAGCGTGCGTACGCTCATGAAGGCCGGACCCATCGCGGAGCGGTACTGCGCGATCATCGTGCGCGAGACGCTGGTGGCGCTCAACTACCTCCACAAGTGCGGGATCATCCATCGCGACATCAAGGCGGCCAACATCCTGCTGACGAGCACGGGCAAGATTCTGCTGTGCGACTTCGGCGTGGCGGCATCGCTGGCGTCGAGCAGCCACAGCAAGCGCAGCACGTTTGTGGGCACGCCGTACTGGATGGCACCCGAAGTGATCACCGAAGGCAAGACGTACGACCAGAAGGCCGACGTATGGAGTCTGGGCATTACGATCTACGAGATGGCTACGGGCAATCCGCCACTGGCAGACGTAGAGCAGATGCGGGTGATCATGCTCATCCCCAAGAGCAAGCCGCCTCGTCTACCGGAGGGCGGGGATTTTTCGCCGGCGATGCGCGACTTTGTGGCGGCGTGTTTGAACGAGGAGCCCAAGGAGCGAGCGACGTCCGAGGAGCTGAACAAGCTCAAGTGGATCAAGACGCATGCCAAGACGCCCGTGGGGGTGCTCAAGGAGCTCATCCAGGCGTACAATGCGTGGACCAAGGCGGGCGGGATGCGGATGAGCCTCATCGGTGCCGAGACGGCCGATTGGGGCGAGGCGGGCAATCGCGACTCGTTTGCCTTTGACGGCCGCGAGACGGGCGAAGGGTGGGAGTTCAATACGCTCCGCGGCGCGCGCGAGTGGGACGACGACGAGGCCGACGAAGTGCCGGCTCAGATTCCGATTCGTGACCATCCGCTGCTGCGCCTGTTTGAGGTGGATGCACCTGATGGGGCTGCGGGTGGTCAGCGCGGCGTGCAGGTGGAACACAACACGTGGCGCCCAGTTAATGCTACTGCGGCTGTGGCTCCGGGTGGGACGGTGCGTGCTGCACCTGCAGCGCCAGCAGCGCCAGTTGTGCCGGTGGAAGCGCCAACGGCTGCTGGGGTTTCGACGATCAAGGCGGGGGTGGGTGGGGCGGAGAAGGCGAGTTTCACGGGGACGGGGAATACGCCTTTTCGATTCGGAGTTGGTGGGGGTCTACCGTCTGGGGTCGAGGCAGGGGAGGTGCGGGAAGTGCCGCTGCGCAAGCGGTCGCAATCGCTCACCAAGCCCAGCACGAACTCTGCGGATGGGAACGTCATTCCCGACTCTAGGTCGTTGCTCGACCTCGAGGCAGGAGCGTGCAAGCTGCAAGGTGGTGATGAGCACGTTGCGCATCATCGGCAATCGCACGGGGGGAGTGATCCGATTTCGGGCGCTGCCTCACCCGCGCGACTGCAGAGTCTCTACGAGCGCGGTGCCAACGCGCAAGCCTACAGCCGCATTGCTCGACTGCGTGCTGGCTATGTGGCCAGCCTGGAAAGCGAGCCCCAAGTGCAAGTGCAAGTCGAGGCGACAACACCCACGGTGCCGAGAGAGGTCAAGGTGGCGTGGGAGAGGAGGCTCGAGGGTCCACCGTTGCGGCCGCTGGATTTTGCAGCGCTGCGAACCAAGGACGAGGTGGCGGCGTGTCTGGGCAGGACCGTGGATGAGCTGGGCAAGTGGCTGGATGTGATGAGTCTGGGACTGGGCAGAGCGGTGCATGCAGAGCCGGCGACCTAGCTTCAACCGCCCCCAGAAGGGCTTAGATGTTGGCAGACGTGAGCGAGCCATCCCAATCGAGTTGAGATGCTAATGCAATGCAAAGACGATCTTGGCACCAGGATGCAAGGTGGGGGTTGGAGTTGGAAGAGCGGTGCGGGGGGGGGGCATAATGAATGGCGGCTGTGCGCACGGCGACGAGGCGGGGCTGTGGCGCGCGTGGGATGGCAGAGGCAGGAGAGCTCGACGTTGGGCGCCGGGCAATGCAAGATCGCCCGCCGCTCTCTGCGATGCAGCTTGAATGCGGACATGGGCGATCGAGCCTGGGCGTGGTTGGTGGCGCGCATGGATCCAACGGCACTGGTGCCTCAATGGCGCCCCATACCGAATGGGATTGTGTCGGACGCCATTGGTCGGCGCTGTCACTCGCTCACCATGCGCAGTCGAACCGTGTGGCAGCCAAGGGTGCTCGCCTGCTATACGGACGCAATGCCTGATTCTCCCCTTGAGCCACGCCGCACGCAGAGAGACTTGGTGGTTTGTGCTAGCCTGGATCCAGCACACACCCTATGCTCGGTAAGACCTCGCTGGGCATGCACCGCTGTGAAAGCTGCACGCTGTCGATAGTGTTGCGCCCATGCCCACGCTTAGCGAACCAAGCCCAAGGATAAGCATGATTTCAACCCCCTGCCATGCTATCCCTCTTGAGCGCGACGCACTCTGGGCAGCGTTGTGTGGCTGTTTCGGGGTGGGGCATGGATCTATGCATTTGGAATGTCGAGCTTGTCGGGAAAGTAGAAGCTAAACAGCAGCAGGACGACGATGATGGCCAAGAGGATGGAGACGGTGTAGATGGTCCAGCTGGCCATGCACTCGAAGCGCGCGCGTGCGCGTTGTCTGCGTCTCTCCCTGCGTCGTGCAACGATCTCGGCGCTGTATTCGGGCAACAGCGATCCGGCCAGCTCGCGATACCCGTATGGATCGGTCGAGCCGTAGTTGGCACGCGAGGTGATGGTGGAGATGATCGAGGCCGCAGTGGTGTTATCCGCGTCTTCCTCGCGCAGCAACTGGCGCTCGTGCGGCCCGGCAAATACGGCGGTTAAAAGGTCGTGCCACCGCTCCAACAGGCTCTTTGAACGAGGCACGGGTGGAGACGGGTGCGGAAAGGGAAACGTCGTCATGGATGTAGGCCGTGCCCGATTTGACGGCTCATCGACAGTATACCGCGAAGAGGCCGAGGGAAAGCGTGGCACGCTGCCAACGGTGAGAGAGTAGCGATAGGTCGATGAGATAACACTGCTCCGTCGAGTATCGGTGCAGCCAGATGAAGAGGCATGTGGAAGGAGGTGGCTGGTGGACGATGTACCTGTCATGGTTGAATGGAGATGGTGTTGCAGAATCTTGCCGGCGCCAAAGAAAAAGGGGGGAGCTGGTGCAAGATGCCTCCACTCCCACCGGCTTTTGCTTTTACTAACCCCCCAACACCCTCACTCTTTCAATCCACACACACCATTCGCACTGCCAAACAGTGGGCGATCAACCAATCTCACACGCTGAACGATATGTTTGCAAGGGTGGGCTAGTCAAATGCACTGGGTGGCGATCCACCACGCAACGTTGCTAATCACCTCGGTGCACTTTTGCACGCCCGGTCCATCCTCGACCGGCGGAACGTGGATGAAGAGCACCTTGGCACCGGTGGCGTTGGTGAGCGAGGCGTAGTAGATGAAATCGCACACGTAGCGGCCTGCATCCCAGCTCTGGTCTACCTCCAAGCCTCTGCGCTTGAGCCAGGCGACAAGCTCGCCGATGTTGACCGTAGTCTGTTGGATATCGCCAAACTGCTCGTACCCTTGGCCAAAGCCTCGTTTCTTGTCCGAGAGGGCAGGGGCGAGGGAGGAGGCGGTATCGGGTTTGTCGTAGCTGTGCTTGTGTGCGAGTGTTTCCAAGCGGATACTACCGCCTCTGCCCACACCGACGTGGATCACCACATCGAACCCCGTCAAAGGATGGTCGATGGGATAGCCATCGGGATACGCTTGGCCGGCAGTTCCACCGTACGGTGAATCCAGGCGAGGGTCGAGCCAGAATGAGCCCGAGCTGGGAGTTCGACCGTGCAGGCGCGGGACAAGGTCGAGAACCGACGAGTAGTGCACGGGTACCTGGAGGGTCTGAATCCTAACCCCCTCCCCAACTTGCGCGGAAGTAGAGGCGTCGCAAGAGGAGAGGCGCACATTGTGCAGCGGTTTCACAGACAGCCATGACGGGTTGGACACCACCGACATGAACGGTCCAAACCCCGTTATCAGCACGTTGACCTCCCGACGTACAGCTGGCATGGTTGGTGGTACAAAGATAACCGGCGGTGCCTGGCGCGCTCGTCTCGGCTAAGCAAAAACAAATATCCATACCCGCACACACGCAACCCCTTCGTGACCGAAAGTGGGTGGGCTGCAGCTACTGCTCACCACCAAAACCTCTGCCACCACCGCTCGGACACAAAGGAATCTCTGAGAAAAAATGGGCATTGAGACCAGGGGATGCGCAGACTACTCGTCGTCGCCAAGCAGGTGCGCATAGTCTTCGGCACTCGCAAACGTCGGCAGGTTGGCAACCGCCTTGCGCCTCTTTTTACCCTTACCCTTGGCCTCGTCGGGCTCGTCGAGACTACGCTTGCGCGAGTCAAAGTCGGTGAAGGGCACAAGATCGTCGTCGTCCTCGTCGAACAGGTTGCCGCCGTCATCGCTCATGTCGTCCTCCCAATCGCCGCCTGCGGCGGGAGAACCGCCAGTGTCCGAGTCGGAGAACGTCATTCCGGGAACAACTCGTGGCCCCTCCTCATCGTCGGAATCATCCTCCTCCTCCTCGGCAGCATCGCCAGGTTCGGCGGCTTCGGCTTCGCTTTCGGAATCGACATAGTCAAACTCGTCATCCTCTCCATCGCTGTCATCCAGACCCTCGAGCTCCTCCTTGCCGGGCATGGTGGCCTTCATGACCTTCCAGATCTCGTTTTCGTCGGCATCGTCGTCGCTATCCAACTCGCTCTCCTCCTCGTCCTTGGCCACTTGGTCGTCCGAATCCACCAGTGCGTCGTCGTCGCCGACGTGGGCACGCGAGGCGCTGGGCTGTTTGGAGCGCAGGTTGAAGAAGCGGTGGAAGAAGAGTTGGTCGGCAGGCACCGCGTCCGCACGCTGCTTCCAGAACGCCTCGGTGTTGACGAACTCGTTCTCGTGCAGCGCATGGGTGCGCGAGCGCGTCACGCCTGCGCCCACGCGCGCGTGCGGCAGAGGCTGCATCGCACTCGCCCCGCGCACCCCCGAGCTTTGCTTCGGATTGCGGTAGACAAAGCGGTCCAGAAAGTGCGAGAGCGTGTTGAGGCTCAGATCGGCATTCGTCGACACCGTACTGCCTTGGACAATCTGCAGAGCGTGCACCGAGACAGAAGGGTGGAAGTGCCAGATGAGTGGCACAATGTCCCACAGACAGGTGCGGCCCGCTCGCGCGAAGCGTGGATCGCGTTTACGTCCATCGTACTTGTCCCCCCCAGCACCAGCACCAGCAGCAGCGGCGGTGGCGGGGGCCTGGGTGTCGACCTCGGCGTCGGAATCGACATCGTGAAAGTGCTCGTCGTCATCGTCTTCGGGCTCGGTAAGCATAGCGCGCAGACCAGGTGTGCGACGGAACAACTCGGCGAGCAGATGCAGACATCCGCAAATAAACGACGGCTGGTGCAGACTCAAAATCTGGCAGAGACGCTTGACGAACGCCTTGACGCGCTCGGCGTCGGCGTCGGCTTGGAGCGCCTGGAAGACGAGGTTGAGGTACATGGCTTGTTTGCTCGACGCCGCCAGACGCGCGTCGAGCAGCGAGTCGTACAGCACGCGGTAGAAGCGATCGCCAATCGCGCCCGATGCCAGCACCGCCGATGCCGCATGCGCGTCCGAGACGCTGAGCTGGAAGATGAGCTGCAGCGCCTGGATGCTCACGTTGAACGAAGCGGTGTGCAGGATCTTGAACAGCGTGTTGACGTGCTTCTCGAACACCGCCGGCTCGATCTTGGCGAATGGAAATGCGCGACGCACGCCCGTGAGGATCGCCACCACCATCTTGGACTCAGCGTCCTTGACCAGCTTGGGCTCCTCGGGCTTTTCGCTCTTGGCAGGCTTGCTCTTTCGGCCGCGTCCCTTGCGCGGCTGGTCCTTCCACCGCTTCTTGTCCTTCTTCTTGGGTTCTTCGACGTCTTCCTCGGCGGTACCGGCAGCTTCCTTGGCTTCGGACTGGCGCAGGATGCCTTCGAACAGCTCAAAGTAGAGCAGGATGAGGTGGTTGGCCGTGGCGTCGTCGCGCGCGGTGAGCACGGTCTGGTTGAGCGTCAGCACGCCGTAGTAGCGTGCGTGCGTGGTGTGGTTGGCCACCTTGCCCTCGTCGTTGGTGGTCGGAGCAGAGGGTCGCAGGATGAGGTTGGCGATCTCGCGGACCACGATGAACTTCATGGCGGGATGGGCGGTGAGAAGTTCGAGGATGTGGTTGCTGGTCTTGGACGCCACGCTGCGCTCGGGGTCGCCGAGCTTGTTGACGAGCAGACGCAGCAGGTTCTGTTCCTGCTCGGGCTTGTCGCGCAGCAGGATGTACACCTGCGTGGTGGCCTGCTTGCGTGTGAAGGCGATGGTGTCGTGCGACTGCACCTCGAGCACCTGCAGAAACTGAAAGTAGAACTTCTTCAGATGGTCCTCGAACGCCCACAGCAGCAGATGCGATTTGGCCGCTTCGGCAGCGGCGACATCGCTCGACGCAAGGGCGACAGAGGCAGAGGAGAGTTGCGGCTGGTCGCGAAAGTAGCGCAGCTTGCGCGAGCCGAGACCGCCTTCGCTGGCGAGCCAGTCGGCAAGCGCGCGTGTGGCGCGGCTGGCTTCCTCGCGGCTCTTTTTGCGCGTCATGGCGAGGAGCGTGTCCATGTGCTTGACGTTGTGCACGGGGCTGCTCTGGACGAGCAGCGTGAGCGCCGAGATGCGGTCCGAGAGCGTACCGCCGCCTTCGGAGGAGAGGAGGGAGCGGACGAACTGGGCGTCCGAGGCGGTGAGCGTGCCGATGCTGCCGCCGGCGCGGTTGAGCGAGGTCTCGCTGCTGGTGAGGTCGTCGTAGGCGCGCGCCTCTTGGCGCATCAGCTCGGCGCCGAGATCGAGCAGGTGGGTGATGCGATCGTGTCCGAGCTCGTTGTTGTTGCTGCCAGAAGCGGGCAGTCTGGGCAGCGACTGTGACATCCAGTGCGGAACGGCTTCGAGCCGCAGCGGTCCGCGCGAAGTGTGCGAAGGCTTGTGCTTGGTCTCCTTGCCGACACCGTCGTCGTCAAAGACCATCTTTTTGCCCTTGCCCATACGCTGTGCGGTGGTGCTTTCCGCCGCGACTGCCGCTTGCTGTCGAGGCTTGTTCTCCTGTTTGCTCTTCTGCTTGCCGTCCTCCTTTTCCTTTCGGGCTTGCGACTTGTCTGTCGGTGCTTCGGGGGCGTTTTTCTTTTTAGAGTCGGGCTTGGTGGTGCTAGCTGGAGCAGCGGCTGGCGTGGGTTGCTTCTGCTTCTTGGTGGGAGCTGCTGATGCAGCGGCGGGTTCGGAGGCGGTAGGATCGGACTGGAGCTGCTTGAGGAACGCGGCGACTTCGGTGGAGAAGGCGGCCTCGTCGATGTTGACGTCCGACTTGGACTTTGCATTGGCCTTGGAGATGAGCTCGAGGTCTTCTCTGGATCCGCCGAAGCTCTTGATTTCGCGCATCAGCGTGTCTTCGTCCGCGCTGTCCTCGGAATCGAATGCATCTTTCTTCTTGCTGCTCTTTTTGGTAGGTGTGGGCTTGCTCGGCGTCGACTTGGCCGGAGCGGACGAGGTTGTGACTGGCTTGGTGGGAGTGGGCTTTGGCGTGCCGTTGGTGGATGGTGACGCAGCAGCCGCAGCAGCCGCAGCGCCGGACCTGGCGCCCTTGGGTCTGAAGTCCCTCGCCATGGTTGGATGGTGTGGTGGAGAGGAGGTGGTGGGGAGGAGGAGCGTCTCGAGTGGAGAGACAGCCTTCGCCGCCCTGCAACCACTCAAAATTTTCCAAAAAGCGCAGAAAAAAAAAAGGCGGACGTCGGCGCTCATCAGGGTTGCGACTCCAAAATCCTCATCCCAGACGCGGATCTCGGAAGTCGTCGAAGGGGGAGAAAATATTTGTAAATGTGCGGCTGAAGGCGATGTAACAGTTTGAGCTGGAAGCGATGCGCATTCCACCCCTTGCACAGCCGCCCCTGGACGCGATCAAGCCCGCCGGTGCCGCTGCCTTCTCTCACCCATGCGCGTGGCTGACAGCTGGCACCTCCGAGGCACGCACGCATACGCACGGCTGTTCGAAGAGGTGCGTGATCAGCCACTGCTGAGCAGCCAGTGACAAGGGTGATGCGATTGTGACGCGGCTGGGCCGACTAGCTGATGCAGACCGAGCGTGCGTTCGAGGCTTGGCTGCAGCTGCGTCGTGGTGCCCTTCCGGGTGCGCCAAATGCGACGGCTCGCTGGCAAGAGGCTGATTTTTAGGCTCTGCGAATCGCGCTCGGGCATGGCGCTGCTGCACCGCGCTGCTGCACCTCTTGCAGCCGAGCTGCCGAAGCGCAGAGTTGTGCAGAAGTGCGCATCCACTCGCTGTCAAAAAAATCGAAGCTCCGCCTTTGGCCCCCTCGGAGCAGCCGTTGTTCGCTTTGGCTCCCCTTGGCTCTCTCCCCTTTGTTCGGGCTGAGGCTCACGCTGGGATCGCCTCGGCTCGGCTCGGCATGCGAGCTCGATCTGTCAATCTCGACGCACGCGAGAGAGAGCCACGAACCGCCGCGCTGGCTTGGTCTTTTGGCCCGCCTCGAGCTGAAAGCTGGGCATATAGATATCCACCACCTCGCGACCTGCTTTTCTCCTTCTGTCCACGCCCCATTCTTGCTTCGTTCCCTCCCCTCCTTCGGCTCATCCTCCCCCCATCCCCCCTCAATACTCGATCCAGCAGCGTTGATCGCGCCGGTATTCGTTCTTTCCACTCCTCTTTGCCTCCTTTTTCACAATCCTTTTCGCTACAATGATCTACGCCAGGACGCTTTTGCTCGCCCTTGTGGCGGTGTCGCTCATGACTGTGGTGCAGGCCACCCAGTCCATCAGCCACAACGCTGCGGTGCGTCGTCACGCTTCGATGGTCAGCCAACGCCCCGCGCGTCGCTCGCTCGACGTGAGCGCGGGCAGGATGGTGCAAAAGAGGCAGACGGCCGAACAGATCAAGCAGGCCGCCGACCTCAAGGCGTGGGACGACGACTTCCACAAGAAGAATGCAGAGTGGCAGCAGGCTGCCATGGCCGCTCTTGCCAGCGGCCAGACGCCGCCCTCCTACGACGAGTACTGGAGTGGCAAGTCGGCTTCCACCGCGGCAGCCAGTGCCAATGCAGACTCTTCGGCTTCGTCCGGGTCCAACGACCAGTCGTCCGCCCCTGCCCAGCAGCAGCAGCAGCAGCAGCA